TAGATTTGGACTGAAAAGTAAAAAGTACTTTTCTTTATGGTGTGAGATCTGCTGAAATGGCTGAGACTTATTTTATAATCTGAGTTAATGTCAACATTTTGAGCACACTGGATACCCAAAAGCAGCTAAAAAAAATAAGAAATTTGAGTAATCGCTTAAAATCAACTTAATCCTTTTTCAAAATCACTACATTTCATCCTTTAATTGTTCTAAAAATCTCAGCAAAAAATCTTTTACTTTTTTCTCTTAAAGTACATTTTTAAACAGGTACTTTAATACTTTTACTTAGCTAGACTGTTTCACTTTTATTTAGTTTATAAGCACTTTCCTGCTGCCTTATTTTGTCTTCAAGAGCTACTTACACATACTAGTATACAATATGTGTACTAAGAAAAACAAATTTCCCTCAAATTCATGGAAAACTCAGGAAAGGGCCTTTAATCTTTTGTACAAAGCTAAACAGTTTGCCGAAAAATGTGATTAAATGAACAACTTTTTTCACCATTAAGTATTTTCACTTGTTTGGTGTTTTAGTGACAGAAAGGGCATCTGGTATAAATCTTTACAAGAATGATGTAAACACATCCTGACACATTTACAAATCACAGTCTATTAGTTAATCCACTTGTTGCAGCGTGCTGTTAAAAGGCTTTCCTGGCTGCGTCTGTTACCATGGCGATGTTTACACAGCGACTCACACATCCCATAATAACAGTATGTGGTTCCGGCATGGGCTGTTTCCTCCTCCTGTCTCACACCCGCCCCGGACTCGCACACACTGCAGCTTCATCAGCACGGGACAGGAAGTTGTGACTAACTCCAATGTGAGGGCACCCACTCTTTTGGATGCATGTTTCTATGGTAACTACAGTAAAAAACTACAACAAAAAACAGATACTGTAAGCCTCTGCCTATTCATTTCACAAAGCTAGAAACTATATCATCCATTTTCTTCCGCTTTATCCAGGGCCGGTTGTAGGGGTCAGCAGACTAAGCAGGGAGGCCCAGACTTCCCTCTCCACACACATTTCCTTCAGCTCTTCCGGGAACCCCGGGGCGTTCCCAGGCCAGCCCAGAGACATAGTCCCTCCAGCGTGTCCTGGGTCTGCCCCGGGGTGTCCTCCTGGTGGGACATGCCCAAACACCTCCAGAGGGAGACGCCCAAGAGGCATCCGAAACAGATGCCCAAGCCACCTCAACTGCTCCTCTTGACATGGAGGAGCAGCAGCTCTACTCCGAGCCACTCCTGTTGGAGCTCCTCACCCTATCTCTAAAGGAGATAGGTGACTTCACAGTCACCCTGTGAAGGAAACTCATTTCGACCGTTTGTATCCACGATCTTGTCTTTTCGGTTATTACCCAGAGCTCATGACCATAGGTGAGGGGAGGAATGTAGATTGATGGTAAACAAGAGCTTTGCCTTTTGACTCAGCTCCCTCTTCACCACTACGGTCCGATACAGCGACCACATCACTGCAGACGCTGCACCGATCCGCCTGTCAATCTCACGTTCCATCCTCCCCTCACTCGTGAACAAGACCCCGAGATACTTGAACTCCTCCACTTGAGGCAGGGACTCTCCACCCACATGTAGAGGGCAAGCCACCTTTTTTTGGTCAAAACTATAGAAACTATGTCATTTTCTATTCATTGGGGTATGCAAAAATATCATGATACTAAATCTGGTGACACAGTATCGTTACCATGGGTTGCTGTATCGATATATTGCCAAGAGTATTTGTTTATTTCATTTTTGGTATCTTTTAGCAATTTTTTGTGACCGCACTACAATTTTGTTGCTTATTTAGTGGAAGGAACTTGACTTATTCATAGTTTTGAAGATTAAAATAGATACATTTCATATTCACTTTGCACAGATAGTGGTTTAACAAAGAAACAAAATGAATTTGGTTCTTAAAAAACAGTAATATATTAAGTGCAATACAATCCCTGACAAAAGTCTTGTCGCTTATCCATTTTGTAGAAACAAAAGCTTATAAACTGACTTTAAATTAATCGATTAGTTTTAGAAATGTCTCATATGAAAGCTAAAACCCTCCCAAATCATGTTCAATATACTAAAATAAATTTGCTTCACTGAAGAAAGATTGATCATTTAATGAACACAGAAAGGTCAGATTTTGGCAAGACAAAAGTCTTGTCACCTTGTCATATGATGCACCCAATCCTAGATTACAGCCTCACCTGTGATCAGTTACTGATCAATCAATTAGTGGATGTGTATAAAAAGAAGCCCAGCACACCAGACCTTCACATCAACTGCAACTTGACCTCTGACAACATGCCTAAGATCCACCCTGAGACCAAAGCGTTAATTATCAAGAGGCTGAAGACCAGATCCACTGCTGAGGTGGTGACACCTTCAATGTGTCTCAGCGTCAAGTACAAAGAATAAGAAAAAGATCTGAAATGACTGGAGATGTTTTTGACAAGCCCAGGTCCGGCAGACCCCGCAAGACAACTGCTCGGGAGGACCGTTTGTTGATTCGAAAATCCAAGGCCAGCCCCTTTTCCACTGCAGCAAACTCCACCAGGCCTGGTCACCTCAAGTCCCTGTGTCAACCACAACAGTTTGTAGAATTCTGTCTGGAAATGGCCTCCATGGTCGAATCAGTGCACAGAAACCAGCACTAAACAAAAGGCAATTTAAAAACTGTGTGACATTTGCCAAGGCCCACAGCCTGCTAAAAGGATGGACACTGGAAAAGTGGCAGAAGGTGGATTTCTCAGATGAATCCTCGGTTGAATTACATCACAGCCACCGCAAATATTGCAGGAGACCTACTGGAGCCACATGGATCCAAGATTCACCCAGAAAACAGTTAAGTTTGGTGTTGGAAAAATCATGTTCTGGGTTCCATCCAGTCTGGGGGTGTGTGAGACATTTGCAGGGTGGAAGGCAAATATCAATAACCTAAAATATCAAGAAGTATTAGCTCCTCTTACATTCCCAACCATAAAAGGGGTCAAATTTTGCAGCAGGATGGTGCTCCATCACATACTTCTATCTCTACATCAAAGTTTCTCAAGGCGAAGAAGATCAAGGTGCTCCAGGACTGGCCAGCCCAGTCACCAGACATGAACATCATTGAGCAAGTCTGGGGTAGAATGAAAGAGGAAGCATGGAAGACAAAACCAAAGAATCTTGATGAACTCTGGGAGGAATGTAAGACGCTTTCTTTGCTATTCCTGATGACTTCATCAACAAATTGTATGACTCATTGTCGAACCACATGGGGCAGTCCTTCAAGCTCATGGAGTCATACAAGATATTAAATATGGATCTCACAGCACCACTACTTCATTCACTGACGTTATGCAACATATTTTTGTATTTGAAGTAAATTATTTGTTCAATTTTCTGTAGGCGACAAAACTTTTGTCTTGCCAAAATCTGACCTTTCTGTGTTCATTAAATGATCAATCTTTCTTCAGTGAAGCAAATTTATTTTAGTATATTGAGCATAATTTGGGAGGGTTTTAGCTTTCATATGAGACATTTCTAAAACCAATCAATTAATTTAAAGTCAGGTTATAAACTTTTGTTTCTAGAAAATGGATAAGCGACAAGACTTTTGTCAGGGACTGTATATGGATTATCATATATATCACCACATTGTGATAATATATCGTGAGTCATGTATCGAGTATCGTATTGAATCGCAAGGGACCCTGCACCCCCTAGTATTCATTAGGTCTATTAGATGACAACACATTTTAAAGTTTGATATATTGCTCAGGGTAGTAGACAAGAAGCACAAAGGGTTCTGTTGTTCCGGGGGCCCACAATTCTACCCTCTTCCTATTAATTTATATTAGAGGGGGGCCCATGTGAGGCTTCTTGCCCTGGGCCCCCAAATTTCTATCAACGGGCCTGATATGCTGCAGAAAATATCAAAATAAAAATGAAAAATGTACCGTATCTTGGTCATATATGCTTAGCCAGTTTATCAGTTGCAAATGTTGAGCTCGTGTATCTAAGACTGCATTTCTGTGGATGTTACTGCGTGTTAGTTTTGCAGTTCCAAGTTACACACAGATAATTATGGTAGGCAATAAAAAAAAGACCACTGAACTGACTTTTACCCTGGCCTATACTGTATTATAAGTCTGAAAACACAGATTTGGATAGTGTCATGCTCGGAAAAAATGCTTTGGGACACGTTGCCGGATTCCATTATAATTTCTCAGATAGTTTCCAGAATCCACTAAAAATTCGAATCCTTTACACTCAAAAATCCAGAGAAGGGGGTACTGCATTCCCTCAAAACTGGATCTAATTCGGCCTCAGCTGTTTTGCAATTTTGTGGCTTGGATGTAAACGTGAAATTATATAAACTACCTCAAAATGACCTTTTGGAACTACAAACCCCAGCACTAGTTCCTAATACAATCTTTAAATCTGAGTTCCTGTACAATAAAGCAATTAGGCATCAGACACTGGCTCGCATTTTGACACTAAATCTTGACACTACACCAGAACAATTGTGTTTATAACAGTTGTCTATTGTCCATTCTTATAAAGATTTCCAGACTTTGCCCAACTTGTTGCGACTTATTCCTTTCTTATCTCTATCCTTACTTTTATACTTGCTTACATTTTCATCCAAACTACCTCTTTGCACGGTGCAGGGACAGTGTGCACATGAACAAAGCACGGAGAATCAATTAAATCTATAAACTAGCCTGCATGACTCAAAATTCCGCTATTTCATGGGCATGCCAAAAGCAATGCGTTTTCCTACTTTTCTCCATATAAGGCAGCGTTTTTTGCACTTCACAACGCACTGACTTCATGTTTAAGTGTTATTTTTATTAAATCAGATGGGATAAAGTAGTTACCAAAGCGTCCCCTTGTTGTAATCGTTCCAAAACAGTCGCTGCACGGTAATTACGCACGAGTAGCACAGGCTCTACTCGTTCGCGTCACTTTTCAATCCGTGCTAAGCTGAAAGAGATAACATGCGGGGATTTCTTACCTGGCAAACGCACTTCTGGTCGGGTTGGGTTCGGTTCGGTTCGCGGTGGAGACTCGGAGGTGCAGCCGGAGCGGAGGGGTGTCGAGTCAGCGGAGCGGCGCAGAGAAGAGGCGCAGTTTAAAGCCCTGAAAGCCCGAGACACTCCCCGTTACGACACTCCCCCTCCCGGACAGAGCCCCTGCACACTGGCGCTACGGTGGAGGAGGGCAGGCAGGGAGGCAGGCGGGGCACACGTGGGTCTACGGCGGCTGAGAGGGGCTGCGGGGGCCGGGGCGCACCACCGGGCTGGTGCTGGTGCCCTCTAGTGGCGTTTGGGGAGTTTGGCAGCAGCGTGGGCTCTGACTGTGGATGACACTGTCGGTTCAGTCAAAGATATTCATAAGAAAGAAAGAGAGAAAGAAACAAGGATGGAAGGAAGAAAAAAGAAAAGAAAGAAAGAAGTTAATAAATAAGAATAGTGTTCCTAGCCCTTATTCACCATAACCATGCCCCCAGTTCATCTGAGGAGCTGACTTATATATTATATTATATATTAACTATAGATAATAATAAGTTTATTCTGATAGGCTACTTCATAAATAAATTGCATATGTTCCAACAGTAAGCAACAGCTACATAAAGGCAATTATCTCCTTTTATAACAACACTATTAAAGCAACAATGTGCTAGACTCTTATAATAGTAAGTTACATTATGAATAACTGCATTTCAAAATGTTTTAATGGACATTCAAAAGTGAAATTAACTTAAATTCCTTCTCACTGCATACTTGGCTATAATAATAATAATAATGCATGCTTTTTTGGACTCTCACAGACACTTTACAGAGCATTACTTCAGTCACTCCATACCTAGTGGTAGTAAGCTACTATTGTAGCCACAGCTGCCCTGGGGCAGACTGACAGAAGTGAGGCTGCCAATCTGCACCATTGGCCCCTCTGACGACCACCATCACTCACGCACACATCACTTTCATATTAGGCAATGTGGGTGAAGTGTCTTGCCTAAGGACACAACGACAATTTTTATGACCATCCTGTGGCTCCTGATTTTCCCAGAGGTTCCCATTCAAGTACTAATCAGGCCCGGCCTTGCTTAGCAACTGATATCTGACAGCATCAGGCTTTGACACAAGCCGATATTGCCACATATGATTATATGGCTATAATCATTTCTTTATGTCTCTGTTTAAACATTTTCATATTTGAGCATGTTTGAACTCATCACTCATAGAGTTTCAGATTTTGACCCCACAAACTGAAATACAAAAACTTTTACTCTGACACCTTTTAAAAGTCTTGGAACACAAATTCCAGGTATAATTTAGGTCTGCAATATGCAATGCAATAAGATAAGACACTTTGCAGTAAAAATGGGTGAGTGTAATTTCAGCCATGAAGCTTTATTGTTGCTTACTTTAATATGACAGAAGTTACTGAATAGGCCTAAACAGCTATTTTTGTCATGTTATTGGGAGGTAATATCATTATAACACATCTAAAAGCTCAGAGTCAATCATGCCTAACATAGGACCTTTAACTTAACATTTGAATGCTCTTTTATATGTTCTTCTCTCTGTTCACTCTTGCACTGGTCTCATGCATAAGCAGCAAGGCCACACATAACCCCAGTGTGACCTGAGCTGCAGGAAAAGGAAAATATTGGGCATTGGAGCGGACAAGACAGAATGCACACCCAGATAAGCAGAAAATCTTTATTTTTCACCAACCGCTTGTGAAAGAACCACACCCCAGCACCACAACACGGTTCAGACCTCATAGAAAAAGGACTTACAAACATGGGACTTGATATTGTGATTAAATGTGCTGCTCGTAACCAACTGTCTTCACTCTGCAGAAGAAAAAAACAGGTACACATTGATCCTAGACTAGTCAAAGAGCACAACCCAGTTATTATTAACAACTATAGGGATGCAACGATATCCAAATCTCATGGTACGATATTTACTGCAATATTCTGAAGAGGCTGATATAATTGTAGATAGGACGCTTTTTTCCTTTATAATACCATGACAAGATTTTGATGTGAATTATTTCCATCATAATCCCAAGAATTCAAGTAAAAAACATATTTCTTCATGTTGTCTGCACTGAAATGAATCATGGGATATGTAGTTCCCGATGTTTATAAGCTGTTGCTTGCTTGCTACTATAAAACCATGTATTTAAGGAAAGAAACTTGTGATTCAATATAGTGTAACAGTCCACAATATTATTGTGAGACTTTTGATGATATAATATTACGATATTATCAACAGCCCAATTGAACAGGTGTACCCTTTGAAATATTGTGGCATTCAACTGGACCGTGACCTCCTCCTCCTTAGTTCAGGCTGTTGAGTTTGAGCAGGAGCAAGGCAGTCATGTGGATGATCTGCAGCGCTGTTGGAGAGCATCATGACATACAGGATGGTGGGATGGTGTGGGTCCATCAGTGTCCAGCAGGAGAACATCTACAGAGGATGGTTAAAGGGACAGTCCGGAATTTTGGACATAGGGCCTCATTTCCTAGTGAGCCAGAGAGTTGGAGACGTGTGGAGACGTGTTTTTAAATATTCCATTCAGTCCTTGTATTTGCAGAGGTCACTGGTGCTAGACTAGTGCATGTCAATGGCCATAGTTCTCCTGCCACTAAAAACAGTCTTACTCACTCCACAAAACACCTGAAACAAAACTATTATTACACCAGACTGTTGATGTAAAAGTCTGTGTTGATTGAATAATTTTAGATGTAAAACCAACCTTGCATTTAAAGGATTTAGATCCATGATTGTACTTCCTGATAGAAAACTTGGCAGTAGAGCACTGATATCACTTAGCATATACCTTACCAGCAGGGTGGTGAAAAATAATAACCTGCATGATATCTGCACTACTGTCCTATAGTGACCTGAGACATGAGGGACCAGGACTAAACCAGGACTAAACCAGGACTGAACCAGGAGGATTAAACCAGGACTGAACCAGGACTGAGTGTCGGGACGGGTCTGGAGGTGCGCCCATGTAGACTGTCGGGTGACCGCAGTCGAAAAGACCAGTGCAGAGCTCCGCACTACACAGGACTAATCACAGCCGTCGCCCTATTGCGCTTTGTAGACACCCTGCTCCACGGACTCTCTCGTTCTCAAGTCCAAGATTAGTCCTGGTTTAGACCAGGTTTAGAGCTGGTTTAGTCCTGGTTCAGTCCTGGTTTAGAAACCTGATTTAGTTCTGGTTTAGACCTGATTTAGTCCTGTTTGAGTCCTGTTTGAGTCTTGTTTGAGTCTTGTTTTAGCCCTGGTTCAGTTCTGGTTTAGTCCTAGTTTAGTCCTGGTTTAGACTATGATTTATGTTCTGTAGGTGATTATGAATGGCGTTAATGTTACTAACATTATTCTGCATCATTTTGAGTACAATAAGTAATAATAAACATAAAATATTACTAATGTTTACTGGACTGGCACCTTTATTTTTGTACCAAAAGTGAGTTGTTGTTTTTTTTTTTAAAGGTAAATAGGTGGGAAGGATTCATCACACTGATAACATCACGAACGGCGTACCCCCACTTAAAAAATCCCCACTGCACCACTGCTCACTGACAAAGTAAAATTCCACTGCTGCTGCTGAGAGAATAGTCCCTCGATATGCGACGATTCATATGATGCAAGGTTAGTTTTATTTCAAACATTATTCTACAGTCTGGTGTAATAATAGTTTTGTTTCAGGTGTTTTGTGGAGTGGGTAAGACTGTTTTTAGTGGCAGGAGAACTATGACCATTGACATGCACTAGTCTAACACCAGTGACCTCTGCAAATACAAGGACTAGATGGAATATTTTAAAAACGCGTCTCCACACGTCTCCAACACTCTGGCTCACTAGGAAATGAGGCCCTATGTCCAAAATTCCAAACTTTCCCTTTAAGATAGTGATGAAACTTGAATGACATTCTCTCGTTTCAGGACATCTTTGAAGGCTCTGTTCAGGTTCAAGCAGAGTTTGTCCCCAGGTCCATCACTCTGCTCAATGAGGAGACACACTAAAACACTTTTATATCTACTGTTGCACTTTAATTTAATTTTAATCTATGTTTTGTGGACTATGAAGACTAAACTTGTGCATTTCTAACATTGTATATTGTGTCTATATTGTCTTTATTATGAGTTCTGCAGAAGTCAACACAAATTTCCCTCCTGGACAATTAGATTTGATCTGGTTTCTTTATTCTGATATACACTAACACTAGAGTTTATGCAGAATAAGGTCTAGATTAGAATAACATGTTTCTCAAAAGGCAGCTCTTCAGTTTGTGGGTTTGTCTAATTAGAACGTTTCCTGTTTCTACAGCGGAATTGAAGTAGTCTACTTTTAGACCTGCTTTAGTCCTAGAATAGTCCTGTTGTAGACCTTGTTTAGATCTAGTGGTACTCAGAAAGACAAATATTCTTTTTGGTGGCAGATCTTGCCACTGGTTTAGACTACACAGCCATGTTTTTATCACTATATCGCCCTCTAGGGGAATGTTGCTGCAAGAACAAGCAATAGAACATGGAATAGTATTTTCTTTTCTATTTTCTTTAACCTTTATTTAAGCCCACTGAAATTGTTATCAGTACTCTTACTTGAGTGATTCCTTTTCCCACTGTGAGCAGGATATGACATTAACCAGCTCTACCTTACATTTATTGAATTACAGGTGGTTTTAAAACTCAAAAATACCTTGAAAAACTGTCTGATTGTGAGTGGGGTCGTCTCTCCACAGATCTGACCTGTAGCTTTGTCTGGTTTGGGGTCCATGAAGACAGAAAAGTTGAATACCATACTGTGAAACATCTCCATGGAGAAAGGCATTTGATGGATGCTCCACCAGAAAAGTTGCACCTTTAAGTTACTCTTACTTGATTTGTAGTTTTCCCAAATACTTTTTTACTCTTACCTGAGTATTTCTTGGACCACTACATTGTACTTTTAAGCCTATTAATATTATTTTGAAGTAACATAACTGCCTGGTAAAAGGGATAAGTGGACAAAGCCTTCAACACTAGCTTTTTCTAATTCAAGCGTGCAACCCTATAGTCTCAATCTACTCAGCCTTCGTTTAGTCCTTGGTTTAGATGTGACCTCTGACCTCATATTGTTACTGAGTGAAAGTTGTGAGGAACTGAACGCGAGCCAGTACAGATTAAGACACTGTCCAAAGCCTGTCTTGTTTGTGAGTGTTTGAGAGCAAGGCCCCAGCACACAGGAAGTCCACTGACCTTTACCATCTCACATCGCTCACACATTCACTCACACATTCTACTGGACAACAACGCTCACACCCTGGGCTGAGCTGTGGATGGTCATTTAAAGAGGTTGTACAGAAGCAGTTTGAATTGTAGATATTTGTTTTGGCATAACATAGGTTGTTATATACACACAACTGACTCGTGTGAGCTTTTAGCCATGTTATAATGTTATTCTCCCCTCAAAAACATACCCAGAATTTGTGTTTTGTTCCATTCACACATGTTTGAGTAACCCTTTATTATTAGTCTGTCTACATCTCCCAAGTTCTGTTCCACCTTGTGATGTCATGTCGTGATGGTTTTCAAGTTAACAGTTATTTTTTACCTTTAGTTCAGTAAACCTACAGAGGGGCAATTCCAGGAACGAAATTAAAATGATTGTTGTGAAGGTGCAAGTTTAAAAACACAGTGGAATAAATATGAAGGATTTGTGCATCAAACACATGTGAATAAAACACAACTTCATGCAGGTTATTGTCCTTTAATTCTTATGCATAATGTGTCTTTGTGAGTATCTGAGTGAATACATATTGTCTCTAGTTCTAAATAGGCTACATCTAAACTTCTATACCCATTAGGGTGGGTTTATTTACAGAACAGCCCATAATGTGCACAAATAGGTCACATCTTCCAGCTAAGGTAATTCTGAGCTATATGGTAGATCTGGAGATGGGTGCCTAAGCGCAGCACTGTGGCACCCACTGCTTCTGGCAGGCTGTCCCAGTGGCACTAAAGGACGCATGGGTCAAATGTAGAGGAAGAATTACCCTAAGGGAGATAAAATATACCTTAACCTTAACCAAAATCTGATGAAATGTTTCAGCATAAAGTAGCCCACCATGGTCAGCACAAATATTAACATCAGGTATTTTAGGCCGTATCTTTTATTACAGTGTGGCTGGCTGACGGCCTATTTTTGGAAAGCTGCAGCAGACCATCCCTCCATCCTCAGAGCCACTGATGCTATTTTCATCCTGTCTCCTGCCGGGCACGCGCAGCTCGTGCGTGCGCCCAGCTGTGTGCGCGCATTGTAAAAGCCTGGCCTCAGGTGCGCGCACGGAGCCCGAGGGCGGGGAACAAGTGGCTTGTGGGATGCGAACTGCCCAAGTCGCCGGCGGCGGCAACTGCACAGATCCACACCGAGGAGACAAGCCATCAGCGGGACAGAGACAGCGGGGACACACGCACTGCAGCGGGGGCAGACTACCGGCGCCGCGGTGCTTCCACCTCCGTGTCCAGGCTTCGGGCGCAGGCGGCGGTGAGAATCGGCGGAAGGCAGAGGCAGGAAGGGAGGAAAAGTTGAGATCCCACGAACCGACGCGTGGGAGTGGGACGCGGATCGTGACTGACTGAGGCAAGCCCCACTGTCTGTCTCATCATGGCAGGTAAATCAATGAAGGTCCTCACGCAGGGTTTGGGCCGAACACTGTGCGTGTTTTTCTGATCACTGTTTAATTGTGCGGCCGTTGAGAGGAGCTAATGTTAGCTAGCCAACTAAAGTTAGCCCATGCTAACGTTAGCCGAGTGTCATCGCCCATTGGCCTGTGCATGGGTGTAGTGCCATTCTGAACAGCACAGGCTCCATTATTCTACCATCAATGACATCAGGATGGGATTTTTATAGTTTACACAGTAAAGTGCATCCACTGACGATCGCAGATGTTTATTTGTGACAGTTTGAACATGTTATAACGGAATTTGTTACACATCAAAGCATACATTAATGGACAATTTCAGTATTGCCTATGAGGAGAAACCAATCGGACTGTAGGTTGAAATATTTAAATGAACTATTTGGTGTAGTGGACAGTGAATGTCACTTCTTGGGTGTAGAAACCATTCTGAACAGGCTGCAGAGATCACCGCAACACTGGCTAATGCTAATGCTAACTGTTCACACGGCTGTTTACTCCGTTTACTCGGCCCGAGCTAAAACCTCCCTGCTAAATTTAGCTGCCTATTTTCTACTGTAACTTGTAGCTTATGCCCCCATGTACCCACAGCACGAACTTTTAATTCAAACGGATATTATTCATTCAAACGGATCACGGCTTCACACACACAGCCCAGTGCACACATTTCTCCAACATGCCATGGCTTGACAAGCAGCGGCTAACGCTAGCTCAACTTTTGACATTGCCTCGTTGGGCATCATCTCTATGCGTTCACAAACTTGACAAGTTGTTAAATAGTACTTTTAATTTGTACATATGGGCACATTTACTAATACATCGCATCTAAGGAAATGAATGGCCAAATGTAGTGAAGCTAGCATGCTTGCAGAATGGATGTTGCTGAGTTCCTTTCTCTCATTAGCTTATGTGAACCACTAAAGTTCCAAGTTCAACCAGTAAAAGTAAAGCATCAGCATTATTTGACATGTTTTTGTGTGTTTAAATGTGTTCACTGGCTCAAACATGCACAGCCACTGCTCTGTGAACCCTTAAATGTTCCAAGTTCATTCATTCTCAGTAGGGCTGCTGGATTAATAGAAAATGCAATTATTTAAGTACCATAATTTACTCCTGAAGCTACAAAATATCATGTAAGGATGGATCAAACTGCTAAACCTATAATTTACACCTCTAAAAACATATTCTAGATAGGGTTGTCAAAAGTATCAATAATCTGCTACTAATCAACATGAAAATTGGTATTGAAACTGAATACTAAAATAATGCAAGTATCAATACTGAAAAAAGTTGCACAAATGGATACAGTTTGGTCTTACCTAATAGATGGACCATGTGGTGTAATAAACAGTAAATTACAATATTATCTAAAAAAGAGCTTTATAATGGATCATTTGGGTATCAAATTTGGTACATTGAGTGTTGAGCCTTTTGTTTAGTATTGAAATCGAGTTTGAAATTTCAGAGTAGTGGCAACACGAGTTCAAAATGTGATTCTTATGTTAGTTTGTCGGTTCATATTTCAATCTTTTTGAATAGTGAACTCTGAGCAAAATTCAATTATTAAAAGTTATGCAGTGTTACGCCAAATTGATTCTTGTGTGCTTTAAGCCATGCTATAATGTTCTTACCTCATCAAAACAGAACTGGAGATGTGTTTTGTTTCATTCACACATGTTTGAGTAATCCTTCATTATTAGTCTGTCCACATCATAGACTGTATAAAAAAGTGGACTAAGCGAATGTGATGATACCCATAGCATTCAGTGCCACTCAAATGAAGCATTTACAGAGTGATTTTGGAGCCAGGCTCTATATTATGTATAGGATTTTTTTGACGGACAAATGTCCATTTATATATATGGTCTGTGGTTGACATCCGCAAAGCACACAGTGGACAGCAACTTGAATGAATGAAACAAAACACAACACTGGATATGTTTTTTGATGAAGAAACAACATTATAACATACGCCAGAAAGTGGTGTAATATGGCACAATAATGTTCCCAAATCGTGCAGCCCTAATTCTTGGCCTCAGTGTTTTGATTGTAAATGCAGGGGGTGGTGAGAGAGATGTGCAGAAGGCTGTTGACTAGCCCAGGGCCTGCTTTATAAATGTGATTCATAAAAGTGTGCGGCCGGATGACTCACTTGTGTCCTTGATGTTTCTGCAGCTGTGCTACTGAGCGCTGGACACTTTATCCTCTCCGCTTGAATGGACGGTGACGGTGAACATAGGGCTCAGAGATATGGGGAAAAATATCACCGTTCACATATTCACTGATCATTTTTAAAATGGCTATGAACACAGAAAAAAAAATTGAAGTTGTCAAATTTCTTCCTTCAGTCTGAACTCCAAACCACATGATTTTACTGTCAGACTGAAAAGCTCAAATTGACTGCACAGTCCTATTTAGACATGTTTGCATTATCAATTAAAGAGCAGTAGTCGTATTTTATCTTCAAAAGTGTTCAAACCAAGCATCATGTATCTCCTTTAGTCAGTTCTTTTGGCCAAATAAAATATCGGTCTATGCTGGAGTTTTAAAGAGGACATACTGTAGCCCTATGGTTGTGCTGTGTGTATTACACATTAATAAATTAAAATTGGGGACCAGCAATGATCTCTTGAATGCAGAAGAAAGATTACTCAAACATACATGAATCACATTAAATACAACTTCAAAGGGTGAATGTGAAGGAGAAACAACTATAACATGGTTAAAACTCTGAACAGATTTTGTATAAGAAGTGTATCAGTCTATTCCTAATGTTTAGGTCTATCAATAAACTTGTGTTCTTGTTCAAAAGCCAAAGGATTGAGGAATAACAATGTGCCAACTTGGTTAACTCCTGTAAGATGTCATTAAAATATCCTTTGCCGTTTTTGCTTATATTGATTTCAGATGAATAAAAATGTAAATTAGGGCTGCTACCAATGAATAATTACTATTTTAGTGGTAAATAATAAAAATAATAGTTTGTTCAGTAGATCACATGACTTCTGACTTAAAATTCTCACAAACTGCATCATAAAAATAATACAATATTTTGGTTATGCAACAAGCTGTGGTAAAGAGGCTGTTGTGTCCTATTCACATGGCGGCATGCTTGCTCTTGTCTCTGATTCTAAGATGGAATGATGCTACACACTGATAACTACTGTAGATGTGCTTGTGCAGTACTTTTATTCATAATTCAAATGTTTGTATCTCCATCTGAGCCAGTGTGTACCCCGCTGCGACTGACACTTTAACAGTTTGTGAATTCGTGAGCGCTTGGTAGAGCATTTTGTGTTTTAGGAACTCTGTATTCCCAATAAGACTTGCTAAACTAAAATATTGATTATGAAACAATAACAAACTTATGTAATGGAATGTTTGGAATGTATTATTTATTGCCAAAAATGCTTAAATAGGAAACATGCACTTCCACAGATGATTACAACTTTATCACTGCTAAGTGCTAACCAGCAGTGTTTTGTGGCAATGCAGAAAACAGCAAGATAATAATTACATCATTCAAAGCGGATTGACTTCTGTAGAAGGAATAATGAGGAATGAGGAATAAAATGTGTTAATATGCAAAATCAAATGATAAAGAATTATAAAAATATGTTGCAGAGTGAGTGTCTTTGAGAAATGAAAAAGACATTTTGATCTGAGGGAACTTTATAATTATCAGCGCTTTTCTTAAACGGGCTTAAATATACAGTGTTTACAACCACGACATTACATGTTCACAAATTTCAACTTGAATTTAATAATTACCACTGTAAATGTGTTATATTGAACTTTGTGCACTAATAAATGGATAATGGTTTAATGTTTTATAGGCATCTAAGTGTACATCTAAGGCTTGCTCTCTTGTATCGAATCCACTTTTTGCAGTTGCTAAAATGAGTAGCTCTCCGGCATTTTCTTTTTGTAAAGGTAGCTCACTGGGCGCAAATGGCTGGAGATCCCTGTATTAGATGGATTGCAACATATGGTTTGCCTTACCAACCAGTTCTCCTATATTCTGTTAGAAGCAAGAAGAATCTGGAATCTGACCATAGACAGAAAAACCTCTTCGAACTTGGGATAGTCCAATCACAGCCCCTTGTTGGTACCACGTGTCTCTTTAATACAGAATACATCTCTCAAATTCTTGTAACATTCAGAACAAAAGATACAACTTCTTTTAATTGAGAAAAATAACATAATATTCAAAGTACTAAACTGTTATGTAGAGTTCTTTGCTGTTTCTTGACTTTCTGATTTGTTTTTTTTACCTGGAAATCACCATGTTGCCTGTCCGTCACACCCAACTCAAATTGGGGATACATTCCAACTCGTCTTTGGAAAGTTTTGTCAAAGCCTGTGGTTCTGAAAAAATATGTGTCTTCATAAAAAAAGAAACTAGATCAATAATATTTGGGTAATATTTCCAATTTCATCCCTATTTCATAAATCATTTGTTCCTCTATGCCTGAGGCTGCCAAACTGAAACCAAACCTGCTGATCTGTGCCAGGTGCCATTCATCTGTTCCACTACTATAGGCTGAAATTATACCCAATCAGTGTGGAAACGTCATGCATACTAGCTATCCTTGAACCTCTGTACTGTTTGTCTTCTGCAGGACCTGGAAATGACATGCAGTGGTGCTTTTCTCAGGTGAAAGGAGCCATTGATGACGACGTCGCTGAAGGTATGAACTGCATTGCATTGTCTATTTTGGCATTTAATTAAAAGTGCTACACCTTTCTGAGTCAATGTCAAAGGGAGGGATGCTCCATTATGGGGAAAAAAAAAAAAGTTTTCGTGTACAACTTTTTTGTAATTGATAGAAGCAATATATTTTCACATTCAGATTTCTGCATTGCACATTTATTGCACAGTCTTACACTATTTATACTTGAGGTACAGCGAATACTAATTTCAGACTGGCTATTAATAGAATGATAATTAATAGAATGAGTTTTTAGTAACCCAAAAAATGACAAACATTTTCTTGGATATTATTACCCTGCTAACCTTGTTATTTAGAGCTTTACAAACAATGTTCTATACTGCACATGCATCCCGAATTTTGGACTTCCGGTCATCGTGCAATGTATACTGAGAAGGATCCTCCGAAAAAGTGAGCTTTAAACTGCCATGTTTGATTTCCCAGTGGGATGCGTCTAATATCAACGCCTATCTTTTCTAGTCTTTTGAACTATATCACTTTTGTTTCTGGTTCTGATATTGTCATATTGTAGTTTTAGGATTCGGACATCGTAATTGTGTGGTCCGAAATTTGGGATGCATGTATTCTATTGTAGTACTTTTTCAGTGTTTTGTAGACAAACGTGTCCTCTTCTTTTATAGCCATGCGTTTACTTTTTGTCTTAGAAATTAATTGTTGAACTCAATGATGAGAAACAGGAAGCGGCAAGTGATACTCTTTTTGTTTGGTTGACACTGAATTCACACGTCAGCATAACGTCCGGAGCAAATAAACCAGAGAGAGTAAAATATCCAAATTAAAATGGGCATCAAGACTGTTTTTTGATTGGTGGTGTTTGAAATAAACTTTAAATTAAATATTGCAAATAGAGGCTGAAATCTGTTTTTTTGATTGACACTTAAACTATTCCGTTTTATGAAATGACAAACTGTTTTCCCCATTTTATTGCTTTTTGTTCTCAATTGAAATTCAAAAGAAGAAATGGTACATGGACCATTCTGGTGTTTTTATTTTTGCTATTTAGTTCTAGTTAAATTCCTCTTCCTAATATGAAACGGTCTCCAATTTTGCCCCTACAACTGCTTCTTTTGACTGAAGACAAACACTTCTTTGTACAGTCTATGGTTTTGAACTGAATCTAATTTTTAAAAAGTCTATAAAAATCAAATCACAGTACTGAGTGACAGCAGTCGTATGAACCTGTTTATCACATGCTAATGGCTCGTTTGTGTTTAAGCGTATCAACATCTTTTATATCTCCCTGACAGATGGAATTAGAATTGGCAGAGAGCAGAATTAAATGCACACTGGCTAATTTGACCTCAACCGAACCATGGCAATGCAGCACTCTGGCGTCCGTATCAAATGTCGGCCAGTAATAACTAACACCCCACACAATATCTGAAATGTTAGTAACGGAACAGCAATGCGTACGCTGTTGAGCTACCAAAACAACCTCACTGCCTCTCAATCATTTCAGAATACAGACATTTGAAGTGCCTCGCCGAGCAACACTGTGATTTCCTCATTTATAGTGCGTGAAAGAAAAAGGAGATTGTGTGAAGGAGTTTTAGCACCCCGAGCCACTTGTGATAAACCGTTCTGCGTGTGAACAGACCGGTCCTCTGTGCAGGATTTAGGATGTATTTAAGATTTTGTTTTTCCCCAAAACAAATCGTGACCCACTTCACGTAGCAGAGCTGTAGTCGAGGAGACACTGGTAGATAATGAAGAAACCTGGAAATGGGGATGCACCGATTTAGCTTTAAGTATACTCGAGCTTTAAAGGTGCATTGTGTAACTTTTGTGGTGGAGGGTCCGTCTAATGCTTTTCTCCATCCATTTGCCCATTTTTCTAGGTATTTTTGAGCTTTAAAACCACCTGTAAATGAATAAATGTAATGCAGAAACTAAAAATAGTGTAAATACTATGTACATGAAATAATAACGACAAAACTAATCCAGATGTTTTATGTAGCTGTTATTTAACTCAAGTAACTACTGAACTAGCCAGGCTGGTGCCACCTAGTGCCTCCGCTCAATTTCATTTCTCTCCAGTGACTAGGTCAGGAATCAGAATACACTAGAGGGTTTGCAAGAATCACAGAAGTGCGAGTTCGGGCACCGGCCAATCAGCGAAGAGCCATACATTCTGTGTTGGCATCGGTTCCTGAGATTGAGGATTTAAAGGCGGAACAAAAAGAATGTTTGGTGAATTTTATCAAGGGGAAAGACGTTATTGTCCTTCTTCCTACGGAATTTGGGAAAAGATGAATACAGTGGCCCCCTTGTTTATCGCGGTTACATTAACCCACGATAGGTGAAATCCGCGAAATAGTCAGCTTTATATTTTACTATTCTATCTGTTTTAAGGCTGTAAAACCCCTCAGCACACACTTTATACACTTTTCTCAGACAGGACAGTTAACCCTTTTTGCATCCTTCTTAACACTTATTGCTGCTGTCGTCCTTTTGCTATTTTCATCTTTTATGTAACGAACCGAAGATTCATTTATTCCGTAATGGAGCCCTACAGCGCACAGTCCATTTTTGGAGACCCGCACCCGCGCAGTACAGCATCACACCCGCCCATTTACCCGAGATTATATCAAACTTTTGCGCTGCCTACGCCACGGACTGAACCAAGACTAAACCAGGACTAACCTAGTACTGATTCCAGGACTGAACTAGGACTAAACCAGAACTGAAACAGGACTAAACCAGAAGTAAAACAGGACTAAACCAGAACTGAAGCAGGACTAAACCAGAACTGAAACAGGACTCACTGTCGGGATTACATACGTCACTACCAAATAGCAGCGATTGGTACCCACCTACCGTCATGTGAATGAATCCTAATGCTGTGAGGTCAGACAGTTTCCATTTAGTGAAACCAGCTGATGAATCACTACTACTGAACAGCATTGTATAAATAAACGTTCAAACATTATGGGATGTTCTGGGCTAACTACCACCAGTAAATAGACTTATTACACCGAGTTGTATGTCCAACTAGGATATCGGCTGATCCCATATTTGGAAGCCAATATCTGATCAAGCTCATTTTCCAGTGTCGGTGCTGATTAGAGTTGTGCAAATATATTGAAATATCGATATATCACATCGTTTAATGTGAGGATACAGTATCGATATCATGGGCTGCTGTATTGATATATCGCCAAGGGTATTTTTTGGTTTATTTTACTAAATGATTTTGTTACAGCTACAGTTTTGTTGCTTGTTGAGTGGAAGGAAACTCGTTTATGTAACACATTTGACATTTTCACTGTTTTGATGTTTAAAAAGTTTGTATTCATTTGAACTTTGCACAAGAAGTGGTTTAACAAAGACTTGTAGAATTACAGCCATGATTTAGACATTATTTGTATTGAACCGTATCGTATCGATTTGAAAGTTAATTTTATCGAGACATGTATCGTATCGTGGCCTGTGTATCGAGGTATGTGTCGTATCTGCAACTTCTTAATGACACCCGGCCCTAGTGCTGATAGATGAAATCTGTAACGCTAACAAAGCATAGACCGTTTTCAAGAAGTAAACTGTTCATTTCAAGCTAGGGCTTAAAGATAAATCACAATGAAAATTGTAATTTGAATTAGTGCTTTTATCTACTCTTAAAGACTATCATTTTGTAGGTTCAATCTGTTTTCTCTGCAAACAACAATTCCTTCATTTTCCTTTGGGTTTTAATGTATAGACGCGGCTAACCCTGTAGTTTAAACCTCGACAAACATGTTCGCAAATGCATTGGATTCTTGGATTAGTTAATCAGTGTTTAGGCCTGTTTTCAAACCTGCATTGCAAGGTGAATGTTTATTTTGTATTTATATTGCCTTTTGGAAATCTTAACGCAACTAAAGGTTTCCAGAACAATTGAATCAGGTTGCATAATGTTTTGAGGAAAGAAAAAAAAAATCTATTTCAGGCTCAACATCCCTTTACAAAAGAGATCAGGTTACTGTTATTTTTATGTTTTATTTGGAACCTTTGCCACGCCTACTTATCCATTTCTGCCGCGGTGATATTGTCACTGTTGAAAATGCACCATGATGGAAAATGAAGTGTTAGTTTGTTAGTGTCATTGTTGGTGTCAGTCTGTTGGTTTCCTTCGAGTCTTATTAACAAGGCATTTGATTGGATGAAAAAAAAGTGACCCTGTTTCTTTTTTAGCAGCTTTTGCCAAATGATACATGATGTAAAGAGCATTTATATTGACAAGAATAAATTAAATGTCCTATATTACACAAAATTTACTCTTTAAGAAATGCTGTTACCTCTTCAAAAACATAGTTTTGTTTTATTCACACATGTTGGAGTGATCTTTTATTTTTAGTCTGTCTACATCTCCAAACCCCTTTACCCTTTACCTGTTGTTTTGTAAAGATTAGAAATTCCAGGGCTGAAATGATCCAAATGATTCTAGTGAAGGTGTACGAAGTTTAAAAACACACTGGAGCATTTCCTGTATTAACATCACAAGGTGGAGTGTTTCCTGTTTAAAAGGAGAGCTAAATAAATCTAAATTTGCAGGATTTGTGTGTTTAAACTTGTGTGAATGAAACAAAACACAACTCCAGGGATGTTTTTGATGAGGAAACATAACATAGATAGAAAATAACAGAATATAGACCCCCAAAAACAGGCCATTTTTAATATTTAATTATGACAAAACACAATAGTCTTCAGTAGAATAGCTGTATTTACACTTCTGTCCTTGTTCTCTGGCCCAAACAGCCACTGACGTAAGAGAGAGCGGTGTTAGATTACAGGAGCTAACTGCTTTATCTGCAGGGCTTTTCCACACAACACTCCCACAAGCTTCTGTCCGACTGTCCTACTTCACCGCTCGTCCACATCAGAGTATTTTTACTGTAAATATTGTGGGCATATGCCTTTTGGTTGGGGCAATTACAAGCGCGTGTGGTTACTAGAGGGAGAGGTGGAGGTTGCTTCCCACACTGGAAAGATTGGCTGAATTTTCAAGGATTATAGTAGTACCGGTAAATTGAGAGTAGAGAAATCTGCACCGCTACTAGGATTGTCAAAAGTATCAAAGATCTGATAGTAATCCATATTAAAACTAGTATCAACACTAGATATACTAATTTGAGCACGTATTAATACTAAGAATTCCCATTCACAGGACAAAATGAACCTTTCCTGAATGTCTTTAGAATGATCTTGAGCTGTATCAGAACACATAGACTAGTATACACCCATGAACCGCCAGGGACCCTACCTGGACCAGTGAGGGATTACCCATAAAGCCACATGGGAATAAAAAAATCACCTCATCTTCTCTAAATAAAGACTGTGGTATCAGAATCGGTATTGAGTCTAAGCCTTAGTATCAAAATAGCTTGACGTTTTAGTATCGTGACACTAACTGCTATTAATGTAAGACCTGGGTGTATTTGAGATATGATTATTATGAATACTATTTTAAAGATTATGTTGAACTGTGTTGTTTATAGTTCAAAACCAGTTCCACAAAAAGATTATAAAGTGATGTTTCGTTTAATCTCATACAGTTTTTCAGTCCTCTCGTTCGTCTGATCTTTTAAACCTCATTGAATACATCTAAAGACATGTAAGCACATTTCAAAATACTGTATCATCAGATATTTGTTATTAGGTTACTCCCATCAAAATTTTAGCCATTTTTGTCTATTGCCCATCCCTAGTTCAAACAACAGGGTCAGCCGGTTTAGTACGCCTTCCTAGAGATGAGTCGTGTGTTTGCATTGGAGGACATACTGGATCATCTTGAGTATTGTGAACGTTCATTGTGATTTCACCTGGAGTTCATTCTCTATTTTAAGCCCTTCTTGATCCATTATATTTATATTAACACATTTGATTTCACAAGAATCAAAAGTCTTTACAAAAAAGATTGCATCAAACTGATTAACATTCTATCAATGAAATGAACAATGAATGTGATTCTCTAACTGCTTCATAAGTTTAAAAAAAGAGTGGGACAGAGGGACATGTGCTGGTTTCTCTGTGGGTGACCCCTTCTGGGGCCCTGAGGCAGCGCGGCTCTTACAAAGAGCACCTATGAGAACTGTTGGGACCTTTGTCCTTCTGCTCCACTGGACGTCAAAGGGTTAAATATGTGCGTGTGGCGTGCACGAGCCGGGTTTACAAATCCAGCTGCTGTAGAGCTGTCTGAAGAGGAGAAAGTAGGTTATCCATCGCACTGTCCATCTGTTCCTCTTCCTCTGTACACGCAGTAGTAGTGTTTAGTAGTAGTAGTAGTAGTAGTTGGATTAGGATTACCTCCTTATGAGCCTTTGTTTCAGTTCTCTGTGATGAATGGCTCTGACGGCATATGGTTGTGTGTTGACAGCGGACATCATCTCCACGGTGGAGTTTAACCACACAGGGGAGCTGCTGGCCACCGGCGACAAGGGCGGACGAGTTGTCATCTTCCAGCAGGAGACAGAGGTACTTGCAACTGCATGTGGATGCTAATACTCCTGTACTTTACAGTACACAAAATCTAGACAAAAACTGACCTTTAGTGCAAATATAAAATGCTAATATAAAATATTGTTTGGGCAGTTTTAATGAATAAACATGACTATATGCTAAGCTTTAGCCTACTGTTTAGCACTGGTGTAAACTGTGTTAAGCAGCAGCTGCCCAGTTCAGATATTTGCCCGTGACTCCATCACGTCACTCCTCAGAGATGTACCAGTTCCACCCAATGAACAGGAACTGGGTCTGGGTGACTCACAGGGAGGCTGGAGGAGCTCTGCTCTCCAGTCCATCTCTTATCTGGGGATGCCCTGGGGTTGGAACAATGGGACTTTAGAATTATTTGGCTGGACAAATACATGTTCGCAGTACGAAAACACGTTAGAACTATAAACCTGAAGTGGTTTCTATAGATGGGAACAGTCCATTTATTTTAGCATTTTTGTTCTGTTTATCTCGACAAGAAGGTCTGCTTTAAAGCAAGACCTCAGGCTTAAACGTGCACTTAACTGTCCCATCTTGTGTCTTGTGTGTGCAGAATAAAAACCCACCTCAGTTCCGGAGCGAGTACAATGTTTACAGCACTTTCCAGAGCCACGAGCCCGAGTTCGACTACTTGAAGAGTTTGGAGATCGAAGAGAAGATCAACAAAATCCGCTGGCTTCCTCAGAAGAACGCAGCTCAGTTCCTATTGTCCACTAATGGTATGTCCAACACTGCTGCTGGTCATTCATAAACCACTAGGACTGTCCCATATGCTTTTGTTAGCTTTTTCATCAATGCAGTTGCAGATATATTTTAATGCATATCTCTTAATGGCTGACACATACACTGACGACTACAATATTTTACTCAACTATTATTAAAAAACATCAACAAAATCTGTTCATGTCCGTTTTAAAGCTCAGAATCTGCAGGTAAATTAATATTGACCTAATTCTATGTCATTTTGCAGATAAGACAATTAAACTGTGGAAAATCAGCGAGCGGGACAAGCGGCCAGAGGGCTACAACCTGAAGGAGGAGGATGGCCGGTACAAAGACCCCAACTCCATCACCAAACTGCAGGTACAGGCTCAGACTCCTCACATGCGTTACACAACACTGGTGTACTCTAGTGTATTCTAGTGCAAGTCCAGAGCATCTCTATTCCACTATATTTAGACCTGCCATAGTCAACACTATTTCGAGAGCACTGGAATTGCATAATGTGGTGCAGATGAAAGTAGATAAGGGGCCAGATTGCTCTATCAGTCGCTGTCTCTCACTGCAAGTGGTTAGAGATAAACGGTGGAATTCTCAAGCTGATTGTAGAGGAAAGTTTAATTTATCAGATGGTAAATATACAAAACCGTTAAACAGCTTCTTTTTTTCAAACCAAAATAGTCACGAGCCCTATTCGTACGTGATAAGTATTAACTGTGGACCTTTTGATTTGGGCTGGTATCATTAAGAAGTTGCTGATACGATACATACATCGATACATAGGCTACAATATGATATGTTTTTCGATGCAGTGCATTTTCGATTCAATATGATTCGATATATTTCAAAACGATTCGATACAGTTCAGTGAAAAACAAAGGCAAATAAATCATGGATGTGATACTAAAAGTCCGCCAAGTTTGTGCAAAGTAGGTATGGGCATGATTAGTCGACTTATCGATAATTGATCATTAAGAATTTTGTCCATTACGTTCATTTTTAATCGACAAACCAAATGTAGGCTGCTGTGCGTAGAGACGAAGCTGCATCTGACAGCGCAAACACTGGAGTTGTGGCCTCACTGTTCCACGTTTTGGCTCTTGCACCTCCTTGGAGATCACTGTGCCACTCAATGAGTGTGTTTACATGCACATCTGTATCCCGATTTTGTCATGGTGCATGTATACGCAGTATCCCGGTTACTGCAACATAAAGAGTTGCACACATCTGATCTCTGAAAACAATGCGACACGCACACAGAACAGACTCACCATCATCATCAACATCCCTCTGTCACAGAGAGAACACTCATATTCCACTGAGTCGTGTCCTTTAGTTTGATAGAAGCTGACCATATCATCGCACAAGAGCTTTTTTTTCTAGCTTAGTTTATGCAAATGAGCCATACGGCTTTAAGTTTCATTTCTGTAAGACTTGTGCAAAGCTGCATTAAACACATTATAATGTCAAACGGGCGGATGTGGCTCTAGAGTCGTTATGGTTTATATGTTAAGTTTATTTGTGCAGATTAGTAATAGTAATAAAGATGATACTTTATAAAAACTTATAAAAACGTTAATAATTAATCGAAAATTGAACGTTAATTCTCCCGACGATCGACTAAGAAAATTTAATCGAATGCCCATCCCTGGTGCAAAGTGAATATGAAAAACACCCATTTACTCAAAACTATGAAAATGTCAACACCACTGTAGCTCTTACACAAAATAATTTTGTAAAATATACCTAAAAATACTTTTGGCAATTATATTGATACAGCAGCCCACTATATTGATAGTGTATCATCAAATTAAACGATACGATATATCAGTATTTCAATATATTTGCACATCTCTGTTGGTGATTTGTAATAATTGTGGAGGACGCCTGAGGTCTTAATCCCGTGCAAATACGCTGTGTCTGTAATTTGTAAAGTAAAAATTCCACCGCAAATGACCTACTATATTTCACCAAACACAGACATCTGGTGCTAATACTCATCCTGTGTGAATCTGCATCTCTGTGTTTGTTGTTGTAATTGCACCTTTTCTATCTCTTTTCTTCTCTTTCCACATTCTTTTCTCTTTAAATCTGTCAGTGTCAGTAAAATAGTCATTTACAAACTTTGCTTATCCTGTGCAAATGTGCTGCAAGTAACACAGAGGTGGAGCGGTAAACTATAAATTACAAGACGACAACAGGTTGTACTTACAACGTGCAAATAGGGGTATAGTCAAAACTAACCTGCATACCACTGTCTGAGTTTTGGTGCTTCTCCTTTGACTTCCACGTATACCAAACCCCCACTTTGTTATGACCCAACGCTGGAAGGGACAGGGGAAGTAACAAAAGAACCAAGATGTAAAATGCTAAAACTAAAGTTGTAATTTATTTAAAAAGGAATGTTAAATGTGAAACTTAAAGTAGGCTGACATAAACATAAATGACAAAAACAGAAACAAAAAACACTCTCTAAACTATGTCACAAAGGACTATTAGTGTCTCAAGGTTCACAGAGTTGCACGAAACTACAGGGAGACGCAGCAAATGTGGCATGCAGTGCAGACAGACAGAGCACCAGCCAGGAGTGGCAGGGGGCAGATCCTTTTAAGGTGTGGCTGCCTCAGGTGAAGTCCCGGGATTGGCTAGATGTTAGAGCGATACACCAATCAGAAGGAAGGGACCCAGGTGCCAGCTTGAAGTGAATCTACCAATCACTGCAGGGGTCTGGCAGATGAAGGCTTGTATGCACACACACAGGGATCAGCAGCAGGGACTTAAACAGATATGGCTACAGGAGGCCAGTTATATTTAATGCAGGTGGGGGCAGCTAAAAACTATATTGTTAAAAGTTTTTTTGTTGTAATACAGTGACGTCTTGGGGCTAGCCAACAATAGAAATGATCAGGTTCAAGATTTGCGCATTTACATTTTGAATATTTCATGACAAGTACAATGTAATCAATAGGAAAAACTGTCTCTTGCCCCTCACCTGAGAGTATGACATCGTCACAGCCTAGAATCTGAAAACTGCCAATACCATGTGATCGGTCTAAGTGCTCCAGCAACACGAGCAGGAACATTACTGTGCATTCTTAAGCCTCCAACCCCATCAAAAAACGACTGCGCACGCCCGCAGAACACGCAAACACACACGGAGCAGACAGCGACCGCGCAGCGAAACACACCCGCAGCCACACTCATCACTCCACACGGACAAAGAACGGAACAGAGGAACAACCCAAAAAAGCGAATGCAATGTGCCACTTCCAGCCATAACTGAACAACTGAGTCACTGCGAACACGCCGACAATCCGTTAGTCCCAGACAGCACCCTCCCTACACGCCACAGCTGAACAAAGCCCAGAGTCACCGTGAACGCGCCAAACAAAGTCCCACTGACCCATCACACTGGTGGGTTTCGTTTAAAGTCCGGTGCCGTTTGTCATTGAATGGTCTATTTTCAAACTTTTTTCACAAATAGTGAGGAATATACGGTAGTCAGTAATAGAAAGGATCAGGTTCAAGATTTGCGAATTTACCTTTTGGATATTTCATGGCAAAATACAACATAATCAACAGGAAAAACTTTCTCTTGCCCCTCGCCTGAGAGTATGACATCATCACAGCCTAGAATCTGAAAACTACCAATACCCTGTGATCGGTCCAAGTGCAAAGTGTCCACGGGCAGGAGCATTACTACTTCTTACTCTACTTCTTCTTACTACTACGTTTGCTCATGACTAGGGCTGGAACAAGTTAATCCATTAATCACAACTGAGACTGAGACTCCAAACCATGCCATGTGCTGAGAGACGTTTTATGACACAGAGCAGTAATTACCCAAAAATAGCACAAGAGACATTTGTTTGACTATTTTTACGGTAAATATATTTTATAGATGTTCTGTAGCGGCATCTCTTTTAGCTTAATCTTTTCCAAATGTATAAAAAACTGTTGTATTCACGGGCTTCTGTCACTCTAAACAACTAATCGATTAACTGACAAAATTATTTGCGGAGTGGTTACCAAAATAATTGTTGGTTACAGCTAACAATTACACATACGACACATGACTATACATGACAACTCAAATGGCCTTTGTTTTGATTGGAATACCATGCTGTTTTCCTAGTTGGAGCTTTTGTTGTACGCATTACTGGTCAGATTTGTCTCTGCTCAACTATTCCATTGCTGTTGTTGCAGGTCCCAGTGTTGATCCCGATGGACCTGATGGTGGAGGCCAGTCCCCGGAGGGTGTTTGCCAACGCCCACACCTACCACATCAACTCCATATCTGTGAACAGTGACAATGAGACGTACCTGTCTGCAGACGACCTGAGGATCAACCTGTGGCACCTGGAGATCACTGACCGCAGCTTCAGTATCCTTCTGACATGTGTGGGACTGTTGGTGATCAGAATACTGACCAACAGTCCAAGTGGAGCAAAAATGAAGAAAGCTCTAGGATTTTATGTTGAAAATCACATTTGATTGTCTAAAGAAAGTATTTTTATTCTCGTGGTATCGGAATTGGTGTTGAATGTTATTATTACTTGGTATCGAAATCTAGACAACTGTAACTATACTATCATGAGCTTTTAGACCTATTCTGGGGCTTGGCAAACAATAACATAATAATAATATAGTCTAACCTGTCCTTCCCACATATTTGGCCTTAACTCACTCTTCAGACATTGTTGACATCAAACCTGCCAACATGGAGGAGCTGACAGAGGTGATCACTGCTGCAGAGTTCCACCCTCATCAGTGCAACACGTTTGTCTACAGCAGCAGCAAAGGCACCATCCGCATGTGTGACATGAGGGCCTCTGCACTGTGTGACAAACACACCAAATGTAAGACAACTCTGTTCACCTATAGACCCTTGAAATGCTCTGTCATCAGAATGACATCAACTTCTAAAAACGTGAAAAACACAACTAGTTCATTTTAAACAGTTTGCAGCATTTCCTCACCCACGTTCTACATTCTGAGCGTCTTATCTATTCCCCACAATGACTTTACAGTGGTGCACATTTGTTTACGCAATTATGCATGTTACGGGTTGATAGGGAAACTGGAGTGCAAACTCTGCATAGAAAGGCCTGAGTGACCCAGGAATCAAAGCCAGAATCTTCTTGCTGTGAGAAATGAGTGCTAGCTACTCAGCCATCATGCTGTCAAGGTACACGCCCTTTAAGTCTTTATAATGATGATGAGGACACCGTTTTGAATTTCCAGGATATATGTAAGTCTCTATCTCTATATTGAAAAGATGGAAAAAATACTATTTTCTAGCCTCAAATTTTATTTGAGCTTCATAAAAAATGTATCATGTAATATGGAGAGGTCGGCTGCTCTTGTGGCTACCTAGCTCACACACTGAGTAGTTTCTGAAACTTTTTGAGCTCAGTTTTTAACATGATATCATGGGATTTTAACCAGCAAAGAAGTGCAGCTTATGGAATTCAAAGGACAGAAGTTGGGGACCGAAATGAGCGGTTTGTTTTTCCTGTATCTATGGAGACTGTGCAGGAAAGGGCTAAGGGGCTGACTATGGACCTCTGAGAAGACTTTTTCCACCATATATGGCAGAAAACATTTGAGAGGAAACACTTTGAGGGAACGGCCCACCTCATCACCGCCTGAAACATCAGAGTGGCTCCCCCTGAAGGCTGCTCTGATGCCCACATTTCAGGACACAAAGGGGGTACACTGTTGTCCTGAGGGCAGCTATTCCCCTGATCCACTAACCCTACCTGGCCAGTTCTCCTGTTAAGATGGAGTAAGACACAAAGGCGGCTAAACTTGAGTTTCCCTCGGGATCAATAGTCTCTCACAGGTCAAAAGTATTCAGTAATAACCAAAAACGGGCATTTTCCCTCTAATGAGCTTCGATTAAATAAACAATGTAATGTCTAAATTGGGCTCTGGTATCACATGTAGCAGAGTGGTTATCATTTGCCAAACTCATTATTTTTCATTTGTTGTGATAATTGAGTTCTAGTTTCCCAGGTGAAATAAGTTTTTGTTTAGAAACTTTTAAAGGATCTACAGGTCTGCTTTTGCATGTTATTCTAATCTAAATGTCCTTTTGTCTTGCAGTGTTTGAGGAGCCTGAGGACCCAAGTAACCGCTCCTTCTTCTCTGAGATCATCTCCTCCATCTCAGATGTGAAGTTCAGCCACAACGGCCGTTACATGATGACCCGGGACTACCTCTCAGTCAAGATCTGGGACCTGAACATGGAGAGCAGACCCGTGGAGACCTACCAGGTGAATACAACTACTGTCACAATGTCTACTTGTACTCAAAGTACAATGTAGTCACGGCTGGTTTCTGCAGTTTTTAATCCAATGATATGATAGAATAGTTGTGACTGAATCTAGAGAATGCAGGGTGTGTAGGTAATGTGTCACTAACCAACTGAAATAATTTGTCCTTGTTTGGGTGCGGGCGAATCATTTTGGGTTGCGTAATCGCAACAGACCAAGCTGCCACATACACTACCTATCAAAAGTTTGGACACACCTTCTATTGTTTTTTCTTTTTTACTACTTTCTGCATTGTCTATACATACTGACTGATGTAAAATATGAGGCAAGGTGTATGGAATTATCTAACAAAGACCAGTTTAAAAACTAAATAGTGATCGTCTCATAGCATAACTGCCTATGCCAAGATAAACTGCATATGTCATTTAGATGACTGGGACGGTTTGTGTGTTCTGGGCCCTAAAACTCTTTGATTGGCGAGGTCAGCGAGTGACACCTACAGATGCAGCAGGGTCTGGAGAATAGAATGAGGAAACTCAATTTGGCCCAAAAGTGTTATGAAGTCTGTGATAAGTTCATGTTCCTCGAAGTAGCCACAGTTTGCTTTGTTGGCAGCGTTGGCAACAAAGCGTCTTCTCTCAATGAGCTTCATTCACAGGCGTGTCTCCTCAGGGTTCATTAGTGGAATGCCAAGTGTGTGCAAAGCAAAAGGTTATTTCGAGGAATCTAAATGATCCAACAGCATGTTTGGAGTTATTTCATGCTATGTTGAATACATTCCATATGTGTTCACTGTTGTGTTCATAGTTTGGATGCCTTCAATGAGGATCTACATAAGGGGTTGGAGGTGGTTATTTTTTCCATGGGGCCACACAAGAAACAGAAAATATTGTGGAGCCCCGGGCCAAAATAGTTAACTCAAGTCTACAGACATGTACATGTCTACATGTATTTCTTTATAAAAAGCAGTAAATATCATTGTTTTGTCAAGCTGGTTAGACTGGTAAAAGTTTGTTATGACTGAGCAATGGAAAAAGTGAGGCTGCCTTACAAAAAATTTAATAAAAAAAAAACACCTCTAAAATAAAAACAATGCAGCTTTAGTCCATGTATGAGGTCAAATTATAAAATGTTGATTTTGTAATTCCAAATGAGCTTAAACAGGTCAATCAGAGTCAACCAAAGGGCCATATGTGGCCCAGGAGCTGGACAATGCCCAGGTTTAATCTATAATGTAAAATGGTCATGAAAATAAAGACATTAAAACCACAGTATGTAATATTTTGGTACAAAAATTGACTAAAATAAATGTATAAATTGCACTAAAACCATGCATGTTTACACTCAACGGGCTTGTATCTCCACAAATCTGACTCTTATTTGGGCTGGAGGGGAGTGCCTAGTACTGCTTGTTTCCATGGGATTGTTATTATTTTGGTCATACACCAGAGTATAGCATAAAACACACCTCATCTCCTTGGAGAATGTCTCCAAGTTTACTTTCCATTACCATGAAACCATGTAGCTGATGAGCCACCTTCAAAGGTTACATTCTGCACCTTTAAATGAAAGGGTCTGAAGTTTTGTCTGGTAGTTTATAAAGGTGGCTTACTTCTTTCTGGACTTTTCTGTCTCTTATTTGGTTCACAGATCCAACTGCTGGAGAAAAGCTAGTTTTTTTAAATGCAACCTGTCATACAAATGAATGAATGAACTGTTAGGAATGTTCAGCTCTTTACTCTGGGTGCAGCCTGTTGACTCGCAGTTACAGACAGTCCCCACTAGACGGCACCATTTGCATTTCGTTTGGTTGTATGTTCCATGCCTTTTGTTATCAGGCGTGGAGAGTGTATCTCTAGTAACTTGTGCTGTGTTCTTCAGGTCCACGAGTATCTGAGGAGCAAGCTGTGCTCGCTCTACGAGAACGACTGCATCTTTGACAAGTTTGAGTGCTGCTGGAATGGCAACGACAGGTGAGAACACGCTCCCACAGCCCTGCTCTTTTCACACACTATGACAGGAATTTCATCACCTGCACACTAGTGGTGTTGCGGTACTAGAATTTCAAACTCGATTCCAACACTGCAATGACAATATAAAAGTAAGTACTATCATTAAATGTGCTTTTTATTCCCATGTGGCCTAATATTTGTGTAATCCCTCAGTGGTCCAGGTAGGTTCGATAGTGGTCCATGGGTGAATACTAGTCTATGTGCTCTTACACTTGTTCTGATACAACTCAAGATCGTTCTAAAGCTATTCAGGAAAGGTTCATTTCTGTCCTGGTGTGAATGTTTTTTGTTTTTTTTGTTTGTTTTTTGCATCAATACCTGCTCAAATGAGTATCTAGTTTTGATACTAGTCATAGTATTTACCCCTGTGACAATTGGTCATTTCACAATACTTCACAATACTGTCAACATTTACAACATAAGTAGCACATTATAAATAATACAAATATTCATCATAATTAGAGTGACAGTCCCAGTTTTGAGCTCTGTGTGCCCTATCCTAGCAGATTTAGCCAAAACCAGTGATTTGTCCCAGTTTTATACAAGAAATGTCCCAGGTGTCCCTATTTTGGACCAGTCTGATCCCTGTTAACAGTAAAAAGAGGTGTAAAGTGTAATTTGTTTAGATAACACAGAAAAGCTGCTTAAAAACAACCAAAACACAAAGAAAATCTGACTATACTGAGTCACATTGTTGCTGAGTACAGAACAATTTTCCTTAATTACGCACTCATTTCACAGTCTAAATCCAAACCAGGGACATCCCAGTTTTTTATTTTGAAAATATGGTCACCCTAATCATAAAATTTCCATGCAAAAGATGTTCACACATTACAAATGCCACTTTTTGTTACAAGCCTTAAATATGCACTGTGCAGCTTTATGCTTTGCTGGAATGTCCCACAATATAGCTTTAAAGCTCTCTCTCCCCAAAGACAAAGAGGTGATGCCACCAGGCCAAGTTATGGGTCAGATCTGCAGAGAGGCGTCCCCCAACAGCTGTGACTGACAAGATATAAAAGTTTAATCACATACTGTGGAACATTCCCGACAAAGCAATAAAATAGATACCTGCTTGTATCGGTGAAAATTCCATGAGAAAAGCTGCTTTTAGTGCACTTGTAAGTTGCTTCTCTTCGATTGGTGCATCATAATTACAGGAACAAGCCTCAAATATAACTTAATCACTAAGAACATTGACACTGCTCAGTATTGAGCAGACAATGTCACAATGTCAAATCTTTGTGTTGCAAGTATTGTGCAAAGAAAAAACACCATTGTCGACACCAGGACCTAAACAACAGTGAAAGCCTTGTTCTTTTTCTTTTTAGTTATCAAATGTTAAGTATGTATCCTGGTTTATGAAATCAAACTTTCTGAATGATAAAGTAGGGATGGGCCGAAGTTCGATACCGATATCTGATATTCGGGCTGCTGCTTTGACCGATAACTGATATTTATTTACCTTTTTAAAATCCATTGTGCGGCCCCCAAATTTCAGTTAATTTTTGATTGTCGTATTGCTAAACTTTTGTTAAAAAAAGTATTTTAATGGGACATAAAATGATTTGTTAGATATTTTTGTAAACATACAGCCATATAACACTCTTCTATTTCCATCTTTACACATATTAGTTTGTTCAGAAAAGGCACATAGAGAATGGGACAGCCCCCAAAAATACTGGGTATAAATATCGGACGATACTGATACGAGAATAGATGTATAGCAAGATTGCATAAAACAGCCGCATGAAAAAGCACTTTACATAAATTTTACTTTTTTGGATATATATTGTATGGAAATTTTGCTTCCAGTAATGTCTCTTATTATTTTTTAGCTTATGGATCACATTGTGACCTGAATAGTGACAATTATTGATTGAACTAATGATTTGAACATCCCTCCTCCTCAGTGTGGTGATGACCGGCTCCTACAATAACTTCTTCCGGATGTTTGAGCGTGGCCACCGGAGGGACGTGACCCTGGAGGCGTCCCGGGAGAACAGCAAGCCCCTGCAGGTGCTCAAGCCCCGCAAAGTGTGCGCGGGCGGCAAGCGCAAGAAGGATGAAATCAGCGTGGACAGTTTAGACTTCAACAAGAAGATCCTCCACACCGCCTGGCACCCCCAAGACAACATCATCGCCGTGGCAACTACCAACAACCTCTACATATTCCAGGACAAGGTCATTTAACAGCACGCAGGCGAGTTACCGGCTCCTTTTTTCTAGGTGCGGCAGAGGGGCGGGGTCTCACGGTTTCGGCCGGCCCGCCCTCTCTCTCTCTTCTCTCTGTGGAAACGCAGGCACTTGAAGCAGCCATGTCCGTTGCTAGCGGCGACCAGACTTTGCCACTTTGACCCTAGTGCGGACAGAGGAGGCCTCGCTATCACCCCCTTTCATCAGATCTGCAGCAGAGGGACACCTGCCTTCTCGTTTAAAGCTCTAGTGCGGGCTTTTTCAAGTAGTGTTGTACGTTTAAATATTGTGTAGTGAGGCTGAAACATGATGCTAACGGTTCATTTTGTCGTTCTTTTTTTGATGGGAGGGCTTGTTTGGAGATGCAGACAGGAACATTTGCAGTGTGTGGGGCTAAAGCACTTACTACCACTAATATCAGTTTATTAATGCATTACTGGCGTGCGTTTATTCACACACACATCTCCATTTTGTTTTACGACGGCACTTAATATCTAAGTAGTCTCAGCTTGTGGTGATTGAACACAAATGGGCGATTTATTAAAAACAACGTTGAAGTTTAGACACCAGTGCGTAGTGTAATCTCCTGTCTGCAGCTCCAAACACAGAAGAATGCATGAAAATTTAGTCCTCAACATATCAAAACTTTAAAACTGTTTATATGGAGCACTCCTGAGTTAGATTAAATGAAAAATCACCAGAAAATGTAAAAAAAAAAAAAAACACTCCCTACGACACTACTCGGAAAGCCCCGCAGTAACGCTTTCTAATTTCGTGCCAATTTTCGTTCTCCATTCGCCACGTTTTCCCCTCAACAAGAACACTTATTTTTTATATACCACCTGCCCCCCCCCCCTCGGAAATATACCTGTGGTCGTGTTGTTACCCCCTCGCCCTGTGCCATCGTAGTGTTTATTTTTCTATTTTCTGTTTGTAGAACTTTTATTAATTCATCCGTTTATACTGTCATGTTATAGTTTTTTTTCCTTTCATTAAATGCATTGAAACGACTCACTCCATTTTGACATTGTGCCTCAGGTTCAGCGGCCACAACGGTCCAGAAAATGACATCAATAAATATTTATGTTTGAACAAGTCAGGTAGAGTTAAAATAAATGTCATATTTATATTAACCGGTGTTACCAAATTTGTTCCGTCCGTCTCCATGACATCAGATTTGACGATTTTTTTTTTGTTTTTGTCTTCTCAAGCACTTAAAAAGAGTTTGGATTTGACACTGGACGCTTATTCATCTTAACTAATGGATATCTGTGTTGAAGATGGAATTAAAAATAAAAAAACACATTATTTGAGGCAATGGGTCGCTAAATGTTGGAGCTACTGCAGGACTTGCTACCGCTACTGTATGTGATGGTACAATATACGGGGCTGCACGCGAGTGGGTTAGCAGCCGTTTGAGGAATCCACAATGTATTCGAAAAAGTGGACGATTCAAACTATATTGATGCCTCTAGTAATGTATGAGTACAGTTTTAATCTATGACGGTGAAGATAATAATAAAGGAACTACTTTTTGCATCTGTGTGGTTGACTCGTGGCGGCAGGACACAGTGCCTCTACATTTTGAGTGAGCTTTTCATGATACAATCACAAAAATCTTTAATCTTCAAGATGCATTATGTAATTTTCTGTGGACAGTTCACCACTAGTTTCCATGCAGATATTGCGTTTGCCTGGAAATCCAGACCGATAATTCTGTATTTTTTATACAGATCTATATCAGTCTGTTTCCCATGCCCTTGGGCGAATCTCAAGCCTGTCAAATGTGACCGCAGTCAAATGTGACCGCAATCGAATTTCTTTTTTTCAATGTCACATGTGAAACGAGCTCACTGGTCAGCTATGATTTACAAATAAAATGACATTGCTCTCACCACAGATTTTAAACAGTGATTGTGATTTCAGTCATTGATTCTAGAGAAGTCCGCAATGTTAATCCACCTGTCAATCACACCCATTTGAGATTTACCGGTGACTAACAGAAGTTACATAGTGCATCTTTAATTGTCTTTCGTTGTAGCTCAAAAATCCAAGTCCATCTTCACAAGTAAAATTCCCAAGAATGTTTCTTCTTGACTGGAAATGTGTTAAGTCTGAATGCACCACAGTGGCAGCTGTGGAGTGACAAGTAACCATCTCATTAATTTAAGAAAAATATTAAAGGTATGAGTACTTACACAAACTGCAGTTAGAATTTTCTCATTGTGGGACTGAGCAACAGGGCTGCAAGATTAACTCAATCAAAAGCAATTTGAAAGGACACAATGAGCAAATTGGAAAAGTCTGCACTTTCTGAAAAAACATTTTCTGCCACAAATGACAAAATGTGCTTATTGTGCATAATAAACAGTTAATCCTGTAGTTTAGATGTGGACAAACAGGCTCTGAAATGAAATGTGATTCTTGCATTAGATGTAATTAATTTGTAAATTCTTCTGGACACATTTTATAAGTGAATTTACAGAACGCTATTAAATCACAGCTCTAATGGCAATGCCTAATCGTTCCGCCCTACTGAGCAGCAATGAGCGGATTGGCCCATGGCACAGATTGGCCGCCACACAACATCATTTTGCCCTTACAATGTGTCATGGTCATGAGTTGCCCCATAGCTGCTTAGCCTTCATCAGACCTCATTAAACTCACAATAGACTGTTCCATTGTTCATTTTAGGCGAAAAAGGATTAGGAATTACTTGTGCCAAAGTATTCGCCTCAAAAAAATTTATGTTTATTACTAGATTAAAGGTCTTATATTGCACAAAATTGACTCCTGTGAGCTTTTAGCCATGTTATAATATTGTTGCCTCATAAACATACTGAGGTATGTTCTGTTTCATTCACACATGTTGAGTAATCCTGTATATTATTAGTCTGTTTACATCTCCAAAGCTCAAAATGTTCTGCTCCACCTTGTGATGTCATGAAGCAGTAGTTTTCAAGTTAACAGCTACATTTTACCTTTTGTTCAGCAGAGATCGGCATTTCCAGGTTTGAACTAATTCTGGTAAAGGTGTATAGAGTTTAAAAACAAAGTTGAGCACTTCCTGTATTACCACATGACATCACAGAGTGGAGCAGAGTTTTTGTACGTTTGGGTAAATCACTAAACGTGCAGGATTTGTGTGTTCAACATATGAATGAAACAAACCACAATTCTGAATGTTTTCAATGAGGAAACTGGGTTATAACAGATCAGAAAAAGCATAATATGGGCCCTTTAATGTTCGTTACACAGAAATTGTTTTTACCATTTCAGACGAAGATATATTTTCATGTTTTAATTTAAGAATGGGGTCTGAAAAGTTGTAACTGACACTTTTCTTCTCTCATCTCAGTATCTGGGTCAACTTCTTAGTGGGCCTACTGCAGTTTTTAACCTAACCAAGTTCACCCTCCCACAGTTTCCCAAACACCCAGGTGGTGTCGTTTTGGCACAGAGCTGCTCCAAAATAACTCCACCAGCACCAGCTCATGTGGGCACTGGCTGCTGCTGGAAAACTCCGATCTGTGCGTCACATCTGCCCCGGTGCCAACTCTGGACGCGTGTGTGTGTGCGTACGTGAGCCCATGCACATCATCTTCCAAACGTGTCAGAAATAACCCCTGTGTGTCTGCGGCCTTCTTAATCACTTTACGGCGCTGCGTGTACACTATGTCGGGTGGTTGGTTGGCGTTGTGCACATCGGCCTGACCCGCTCTCCTCCCAGAGTTCGTATTATGTAATCTGACCGCGCTGCTGCGTCGTGACGTCACCCGGCCGCTCCAGGCAGGAAGGCGTGCTGCTCTCGGGCCCAACAGCCAGTGCACACAGCAGCAGCCTCAGCAGCAGCAGGAACAGTAGTCCGCCCGTAGCCAGTGCCCGGAGCGCTACCTCCCCGTACGCACGTCTTCTCTCCTCCGCCGCGGTGACACGGTGATAGTGCACGCCTGGATGTGTACAGATAAGGGCCACTGACTCGAGCCTGTGTATGCAACCCGCCCTGTGCTCCTCCGGCCACGACCATGTCCGACGCTGCTAACGCTTCTGCCACAGACAACAACGGAGAGCTGAACGGTAAGCCAGTTTTTAGTCATTAATCTCATCTAAAAGTGTGTCAGCGCTTTTGCAAACGTTAGAAAATACCCGTGTGTGTCTTATTGCTAACGTAACTGTGTTTTCTCCGCCTTGTTTGTACGCGGTGGTTCATTTCCATCAGTTTTTTGCAGTGAAAACTACATGAAGGTAGAACGCTATGTTCTGGGTGGTTATTGACATTGTCTCAGCCAATAGGATCGCAACCAGCGGAACGGACGCGCGAAGCAGCCAATCAGCGACGCGAAAATGAGGAAGGGGCGGGAGTAAGTTTTGTCAACAAGGCGAGATGGAACTAGCAAAAATGGGAGCTGATTAAAAAAATATAGCTTTTCTTACGGTCTTTCTGACACGATAATACAGTTTGCATCTTCCCGAATTCACACTTTTATAAATTATACGTGTGTTCAAAAAATTCTCATCTAATAAGTTGAATCGATGTGAACCCTGTAGGCGTAGCTAGCGTTATGTAAAATGTTAACCTGTTTCATAATAAACCTATTAACGTGATCCAACACATGCTTAATATTAGCTTTCATAAATCTGCATAATGTAAGTGTGCAAATGGTTTCTTACAAGTGAAATGCCTAAAGCGTATTTTTTTTCAGACCACAAACAAATATTGGGGATTATATTTTTGTGCCATGTTATTAGATTACGCAAATAAACAAGACCACGCTTTGTATTTCCGTACTTTCGTGTCCCTGGCAGTGCACAGTGGGGTGGCAGGCTGCTGTTGTGATGCTAAATGGCCGTATAGTGAAGTGGCTGGCTTTGCGCGCTCCGGTCCACATAAACAAAGCTTGTTTATGGCACCGCTGTCCTTACGCTGCGCCTGTGCCCGCGTTGGAGAGGGGCCCCTGGCAAGGGTGACCAGACGTCCCTATTTACCCGGGACAGTCCCAGTTTTGAGTTCTGTTTCCCCTGTCCGAGCTGATTTATCCAAAACCAGTGATTTGTCCCAGTTTTATACAAAAAATGTCCCAGGTGTTCCTATTTTTAAGAAATTTGATCCCTGCCAACAATAAAGTGAGGCATAATTGTCATTTGTTTAAGTAAAATACAGAAAAGCTGCTTAAAAATGACCAAAATACAGAAAATGTGACTATACTGGCTTACATTTTAGTCATGAATGGGCCAAGTACAGAACAGTTTTCCTCAATTACGCACTAATTTCACAATTTTATTATTGCCAACCACCACAAACCATGGATTTCCCAGTTTTTGATTTTGAAAATATGGCCATCCTACCCCTGAATGCACACCAGCTGAAGTTTAACCTCACCGCGGCGGGCTATTTACGGCCCCAGTGACAAGAGGACAGATGTTCTGGACATAAGTAAGGTGGAAAAGTAAGCCCCTGAGCTATAGGCTGTGTACAGGGGGTGGATCCGCCATGGACTACGTGTTTACTGTAGTTTTAGTTTCAAAGGAAGGATATTGATAGTTTGCAGCTGGTGTCATCAACTTTGTCTGTGTTGATGTGTTGATGAACTGTGTTGTTTAAATTTATTACATATGGTTTTTGAGCTTTCAGACATTCAAAGGTCCTATTTTACACAAATTAGATTCTTGTGAGCTTTAAGTGATGTTATAATGCTGTGTATGTAGGTAATCCTGCATTTTTAGTCTGTCTGCATCTTCAAAACTCAAAATGCTCCAGTCCACCTTGTGATGTCATGTATTGGGAGTTTTCCTTTTACGTTTAGTGGAGTAGAGATTGGTAGTTCCAGGACTGAAATTATCCAAATGATTCTAGTATGAAGACTGAAATAATATTACTCAAAAGGCTTACATAATTTTGCTGCAACTTACTTTGATAAAAAACATATATATTTTTAAACAGTTTAATTTAGCAACAAAACACAAATTAGTGAAATGAAACAGTGGAGACTAGATTCAAGTTCCACTTTTCCATCCCAGAGCCCCAAACCAGACCATGAACTAGCTCACTGTCCAAGGAACACGTCTGTACATGTCCAACAAGGCAGTGAGTGCATTTATCAGAAATCATCACTCCCTTTTTTCCACAACAGTGTTTTCTATTTGAAAGATAAACTAAGATGCCTAAATATGCAGGGTTTGTGTGTTAAACATGTGAGAATGAAACAAAACACAATTCCAGGTCTGTTTGTGATGAGGAAACAACATTAGAACAGATCAAGAAATAGCTGAATATATCCCTCTTAAACTAGACTAGGACTGATGGATGGCAACAGAAGGCACACTAAAGCATATTGTTGATCTTTGCACAATTACCCCAAATAAAACCAAAATGGAGAACTAGTTACATCTGCTATTTGCTGTCTGGGGCTAGTTTGTTTGTGGCTTAATTGTTAACTGCGGTTATATAAATTGGCGTGGGTTTTTTGGCCCTGTAACTCCAGCTAAGGGTGAGCAGTGTTGACAAAAATCAATATATTTTTGAGGTTTTACTCTGATCTGATTACTTTTGTAACTACTACAGCCACAACTTTTTTTTTTTTTTTAAACAGTTTTCTAATTGTTGAGGCAAAATGCTGGATATTCTGTATATTAATAATTTTGTTTATACCCGGGGTCCCCAACCAGCGGGCCATCTGGTAGACTGGTACTGTGCCCCAGAGAAAAATATATATCTTTAACAGGTATTTGACTTCTTTTTTTTTTTTATAGTCTAGCACCATATGTGTTTTATTCTGCAAATATATTTCAAATGAACCTGGCAAACATCAGCATCAGAGAGGGAGAGAGAGATACTTTATTGATCCTGAGGGAAATTCAAGTTTTGCTGCAGCAACATTTCCACTGCGCTTCTAGATCGTCACTTTTTCAAACTACGGTTATGACTTTTATTAATTTTGCTCCGTTATCACCGGCCCCGCTCCTCTCCATTATAAAAATTATATTTATTAAGAGAAAAAAGGTTGGGGACCGCTTTTGTAGACAATATATTACTTTACTTTCAACTCAAGCTTCATAAAGTTTAAAGTTAAGTTAAAACCTTTCTAACTCATAATTCAGTGGTGAATACTTGTTGATATAAAGTAGTAGTGTGTATACAGTGGTCAGTGGAGTCTTTATCAGTGCCTCACAGTCCCTCTGGCTCTATAAACTGGCATCAGACCTGAGCGTGCTGTGATGTCACCGGTTTGGCAGCTCTCATGTGTTGGTTTAGCCCTGCTCGGGCAACAACTCTCACGCTGAACTCTGACTTATTCTTCAGATTCAGCTCTCCGACAATCATGGCCTTAAACTGTGAGTCAGCACAATGTTACCTGCGGAGTAACCCAGAAGCCAGTCAGTCTTCTTCTGTTTAGATATTGATTGATAGTTTTGACCTAACTGATATTCTTAACCCATACCACTCCAAGGGCTGAACACATCTGTAGTTATTTCCTTAAAACATATAAACTTAAAGGTGCATTGTGTAACTTTTCTGGAGGGTGGGTCATGTGCCTGTTTGTATGGATATGTCATTTGCTCTGCCTGGAATGTTCCACAGTATGACATTAAACAGCTCTATCTTAAAATTATTCAATCGGTTCAGTTTTATAGCTCAAAAATACCTAGAAGAAAACAACATTCGGGGTTGCCTCTCCACAGTTCTGACCTGTAACTTGGTCTATTTTGGTCTCCATGAAGATATAAAGGTTTAATGCCATACTGTGAAACATTCCAGACAAAGCAATAACATCTCCATGAAGAAAAGCATTTGACAGACCCTGAACCACCTTTAAAACTAGTTAAAAAGCATTTTGTAAAGTTTATATGTTCTTCAAACTACAAAACAGCTTTTACTTTTAAAAATAAAAGTAATTTTCTTAAAGCCTCACTCCACATTTAGTCATGGTCATCTACTATTATAGCCACAATTGCCCTAGGGCAGACGGAAGTGGGGGTGTTACGTCAAGCACTTACGTCACACCCATAGATTATACTTGTTGATTTAAATGACCATAGCTAACCCACCAGCCGCCTCGTTCCAAATATGAAGTGAACATGGACATGCTGCCAGCTCCGTCAACTTTGGCTCCGTTTGATTTTATATTAAAAAGCTGTCACCTCTCTCTGTAAGTGCGGCAGTGAGCCTTGTCATTTTTCGCCCCTACAACTACAAGCCTCATGAGCTTCATTTGGCTAAAGCTGAACACTATGGGTGACGTCACACTCTTTTATAGTCCACTTCTTTATACAGTCTATGACCATCACGGAGGCAATTGGCAATGCGGGTAGGGTGACAAGATTTTCCTGTTTAACTATGATAAATAGGAAAATCTTGTGAATAAATCCTGTGAGTAAATCTACAGTTTTTTCAAATTTTTCAGTTTAAAAGTGTCAGATTTTGTGCCTTATTTAATGTTTTGTCCCATTATGTTCACTTTAAACATTAAATCAGATGTTACATTCAGACAGTTTTAAGTTATTCTTACTGTAGTTTTCCCAAATACTATTTGGCGCTTACTTACAGAAGCTGAAGCTGACCTATGGGTGACATCACACTCCTTTATAGTCCACTTCTTTATACAGTCTATGACCATCACGGTTGCAATTGGCAATGTGGGTAGGGGGACAAGATGTTCCTATTTATCCAAGACTGTCACAGTTTGTAGCCTGTGTCCCCTGTCCCAGCAGATTTATCCAAACTCTGTGATTTGTCCCAGTTTTGTACAAGAATTGTCCCTATTTTTGACCATTTGTCACCTGCCAACAGTAAAGAGAGGAATAAATTGTCACTGGTTAAGTAAAATACAGAAAAGACGTTTTAAAATGACCGAAACACAAAGAAAATGTGACTATACTGGTTAACGTTAGTCATGTATGGGCTGAGTGCAGAACAATTTTCCTTAATTACGCACTCGTTTCACAATTTTATTATTATCAGCCACCACAAACCAGAGATGTCCCAGTTTCTTATTTTGAAAATCTGATCACTACAAATGTGGGTGAAGTGTTTAGCCTAAGTTTAGAACAGTACTGTCGATTACAAAATAAACCTTTTG